GGAACTATACTTACTTTTTTTTCTCCTTCTCTTACGCGGTTACGCCTCATTCGATCACTCGCGCTTGCGGGCTGAGCTGATGATCGACCGTGCTACGGCCGCGCTGCGCGCGCGGCACGTAGACGGAGCTAATTAAGCCAGCGCGCGCTCTCTCGAGATGGAGACGGCGAGGCGAAGCGATCCCCCGATCTCACACGCACGACGTCGTCGCCGCGGTCGCCGTCTCGCTCGGCAGCCCGCGCGGCCCACCACCTGCCCACGGCCGCGCTCCCGCGCCGGCGCTCGACACGTGCCGCTGACAGCGACGAGGCGAATCGCGCGACGACAAACAACCGCAAAGTTTACTCGTTATGGAATTCCCCTCCCCCTATATCGTCGCCCGATGGCGACCGGCCGCGCAGCCGCGCCCGCGCCCGCGCTGCCATTTTTGGGCCCCAGGCCTTCGCTGCGTTTCCTCTCCCGGCCTTCTCACTGGCCCGCTAAGCACGGCGCATCATTGCACATCCACTCGCGACGTCATTAGCAGCTAATTAAGCTAAGCTTAATCTAGATCGAGTCGAGCAGCAGCTAGCTAGCTAGCTGGTAGTCGACAGATAAGCTGAGAGATTATAAGATGCGACCTCAGCCCCCGTCTTTTCTGATTACGATTAGGGTAGATAATTACGCGCTTAAGACTAAAGCTAGCCACACAACTTAGCTGCTAATTTCGTCCATGGAAAGCCACTAATCCTGCTTATCCCAGCAAGATAATTACTACGCCCATTAGGCCACGGCTTGCCCGAAACGTTCGCTTTGTGGGGCCTACGTGCTTCCCCACCGCAGAGGCGAAAACTGATCGGACGTGCAGGGGCCGTCCCCATCGATCGCTCGTGTTAGGATAAAGATTAGTTTTTGTTCGCTTTGCTTAATTAGCTTGCTTAAGATATATCGTCACCTGGATTAGCCGGGCTAGTTGTTTGGTGTTGTGTACTACGTGATGACCTGAGCTAAACCCCGCTATAGCTGCTGGCACACGTGTTTACTTGGCAAAGGCCGGGCTGATGACCACCCTTCGTAATGGATTTTGTCAATCGCCTGGTTTGTTTGTTTTTTATTTTAATTTAGTGGCGAAAAGCCTAACTCCATACAGCTGGTGTGAAGTTGACACATGGAAGATTAATTCATTTTTACGTGAAAAATAGTTTGATATATCTCTAGATTCTATTATATATATCTTCATACGTGGAGCAGCTAAGTGCCCCACATGAAAGCTAGGTGTGAGACGAGTTTCTACGGGGATAAGCAGCATCAGGGATTTGGCCTTTCGATGGAAAAAGACTTGACATGCATGTCAGGTCACACACATTTTCATTTCAGTCAAGGTTCATGAGTCAATACTCCTATATGCATGCATGGTATAGTACATTACATCTGTCCTTTTTTTTTTTTAATCAAGGTTGCATCTGTGGAGTGGTGGGAAAAATTGACAAGCAATTGAGCTCCCACCTAGCTTCTAGCACCATAGTTTTTGTCCCGTTTCACCACTGGATCTAATTGCTCAACAGTGATGAACAAGATTGTAGTGGTAGATTATTCCTTTCACCATTTACATTCTACACAATAATGTTTATCTCTTTAAAGCTCTATTTGTTGACAGCAAAATCCCATAGCACATGAGGTTTCATCAATCAAATTTTTGGCACGCTTTCGTTGTGTACTTAACATGAGAGGGACTAGTGACAAATTAAAAGCATAGTTCGTACGACCAAGGCGAAATTAACAAAGACAAGTCATCATCATCATCTGATGATGGTACTACTATGAGTACAATAGTTTCTTTGTTTCGCCAGACTAACCTACCGGTCCTGTTGTCTGTGTGCCCTCTTACCGAAAAAGCCCCAACAAACAAATCTACTCTCGCAGCTAGCCTTGTTCTCACACTATCATCTTGTATCGAACCATATTTAAGACCATGCTCGCCAGGCCCCACAAGCTTGTCAACATTCTGGATTCTTTTGTAGTACTAATTCGGTCCATTTTATATCGCCATGCAGACTTGCAACTATGAATAGGATGGGATTTTCAACTGTGGAAGTTGACAACATGAATACCCGGTTATGAGTAGAGATGAAAACACACGGAAACTAGTTTTATCATATTTGTTTTCATATTTTTTTTCGGAATCGGAATCGGAATCGAAAACTCGGATATGGAAATAAAATCGAATATTATCGAATATAGATACGGAGCGAATACGAGACGGAACGAATACGGTAGCGAATATTTACCGGTATATAAAAAACCCCTCAAATTGAGTTTATTGATAAATGAAGAGATATCGTTTATTATTTTAGTTCAACATCTCCAACATTTATATCGTCAATTTTGTAGACGGTCCCACAACTGTATGTGAAAAATCGATTTTCATGGCTGTTCCTCTAAGAGATCCATATGCAAATATGATTATCATTTTCTATTCCCAAGACCTTTTAATAGATGTATAACTTACTTACCATTGTATAAATTGGAGATGTTATTTATTTTACTTCACATCTTCGAAACTTGTAATGTTTGTATTATACTTTAAATGCTTTCAAATACAAATGTTATAAACTACAAAGTGGTAGATCCCGTTGAGCTCTACAATTTTGATATGGAACACATCTCCATCAGATGTCGTTTGAATTGTAGATCTGAGATTTTGTAAAAATTAATATGGTATATTATAATGAATATTTAGACCCTTAAATGACCTCAAATAATAAAATAGTCAATAATAAAGTTGTAGATCTCATCGAGCTCTATAATGTTGATATAAAGTTTGTCTTCATCTGATTCCGTATGAAAAGGTTATGCATATATACGTGTTTTTTCTAAAATTTGCTCAATGTCTCCGGATATCCGAAAAAAATTCCGGATAGTTTCCGACCGTTTTCCGATTCCGACGGATAGTACCCTTACTGTATTCGTTTTCGTTTCTGAGAAAAAAAATCCGAATTCGTTTCCGAATCCGAGAATTTCCGGATAATTCCAACCGAAACTATCCGAATCCAAAAAATGGTCCGGACGGACGGAAACTATCCAAACCAGTTTCATCCCTAGTTATGAGTTATGACCTTAGGCTTAGTACTAGCATACTCCCTCAGCCCTGTTTTTATTTCTGATTGAGATATATATATTTTACCTTGGTTTTCATTAGCATTTTTTAACTGCTAAACAATGTATTTCTTATGAAAACTTTTTATGTAGAAATTGCTTTAAAATATAATATATAAATTATTATTTAAGTTTTAAATAATTAGAACTCAATTAATCATGTGATTAGTTTTCTTTTTTTACGTCTTCATTTTCAGTGAACTTAAACGGGGCCTCAGTCCCTAAAAGGTTAAAGTTAACTTTAACCTAAAAAATTATCCTGTACTAAATTTTTAAGAATATACCTTTATTACTCGATTGTTTCATTCTTGGTTTAGCCATGCATAGAACCAGCAATACTCTCTCCTCTTCTCATTTTCTCTTTTGCATTAATGAAGGTATATATACATTAGTTTTTTAACCTTATGTGTAATCTATTATTTTTTACTAGTTAAACCTATAATCTTTCAGGGATGGAAACAATACTCTCTTCGTCCCAAAATATAAAAAACCTAAAACTACGTTTCCTAGTATAACATATCTAACATAGTTCTAGTATGGGACGCTCCAGTGTTTCTGTCCATATCCGTTGCATTAGGAAACGTCTCATTCAGTATTAGGTTCTTATATTTTGGGACAGAAGTAGTAGGAGTAGCATATAAGAAAAACATAAAGGTTTCACTTTTATTAAGTTGTATGTATTCACTGGGCCAGAGCAATTTTTTGTTTGTGGATATTTAGTACTCCATCTCACGTGAAGGTTACAATTAATTTGATTTGTATTTGATAAGGAAATAAACACGACTTTACCATTGTAACCTTACAAATGTCTACACAAAATTGTTAATTCCGGACCTTTCATTCATAAAACTGCACCAAAATAAAGGTGTGAAAACAAATAAGAAATTACATTCTTGACACTTCCAAAATGCCCTTAATTAATCCTAAGAAACAGCAAGAGAAATGATTTTTTAGTTGCTTGTCTATAATTCGATCTTAAAATCTTGCAGTGAGAGTTTACATGTATGGGCTAATATTCATTAACAAGTATGAACTAATAAAAGAAACACATACTACTATAGAAATAGTCATCACTATTGATTCACCACAGCGGTACTATTTGTTGGTTCCTGGCATGAACCCACAATGTGATAAGATACCCGCAATCACAGCCATGTCCTAAGTTAAAAACAACTTTGATAAGGTAATTAATTATAGACGTGTTGTAATCACGTCGTTTTTCAACTAGGGATGCGCTGGTCATCTTTTCGGTTTGTGACCGTGCTCTATTGTATCTTAGCACCTTGGTACCAATTAAGATTTTCTTTTCAGCAACTGTGTTCCTGTTCACTGTAACCAAACTTCTTTTCAATCTTTAACAAATCTTGGCCGGTTTCTCGGTGAAAAAAAAAGAAAATATAGACACGAGTTCGATTCCATGGCGCACATATTCCGAGGTGATATCCTCTTCGGACGATGCAAAACGGCCGCATGTAGGGATCCAGTCCGTTGGATATGCCAACTGGCGAAATTCATCCCCCACGCGAAACCCCCCAAATTTAACCCCAAACCGCCTCCACATACATCGGCCGCCACCGCACCACGCGGTCCACGCCACCAACACGTACACGTGGCGCGGCCACGGAGTTCCACCGGCCGACGTCAGGCGCGCCTGACCCGGGGGGGCCCACCCCCGCGCGCCCAATCTCCGGCGCTATCACGCCGGGCGCGAGGGATAACGGACCAAACCCACCCCCCGCGCTCCCCATCCTGCCCCCGCGAAGCGCCGGAAACCACAGAAAAGCCGCGCGGGTGGCATGGCATCGCGGCCACGCATCATCACCCTCACCACCATTCACCGCCAACGCAAGCGGACAAAAAATCTGCGCGCATAAAAGGAGCCCCTCCCCTCCCGTCCCCAAAAATTCGAGCCCTCCTCCATCTCTCGCCTCCTCTTGATACAAGCTCGACCCTGATAGATCTCATAGATCATAGCTGAGAGGGGATCGAGTGGCTTGATCTTGGAAGTGAGCAGCTATAGCTAGATAGGTTTTGCTTGTGCAGGGAGGTGTGTGTTGTGTGTGGGTGACTGCCGGAGACGATGGTTCTGTCGAACCCGGCGATGCTGCCGCCGGGGTTCCGGTTCCACCCGACGGACGAGGAGCTGATCGTGCACTACCTCCGCAACCGGGCCGCCTCCTCGCCGTGCCCCGTCTCCATCATCGCCGACGTCGACATCTACAAGTTCGATCCGTGGGACCTCCCATGTTAGTACCCACCCTCACAGCTCGCCGCGATCGATCGATCACTGATTTGCAATTAATTTCGTTGGTGATCGACTTGTGTTTTGATTTGCATCAGCCAAGGAGAATTACGGGGACAGGGAGTGGTACTTCTTCAGCCCGAGGGACCGCAAGTACCCGAACGGGATCCGGCCGAACCGCGCCGCGGGCTCCGGCTACTGGAAGGCCACCGGCACCGACAAGCCCATCCACAGCAGCGGCGGCGCGGCGACCAACGAGAGCGTCGGCGTCAAGAAGGCGCTCGTCTTCTACAAGGGCCGCCCGCCCAAGGGCACCAAGACCAACTGGATCATGCACGAGTACCGCCTCGCCGCCGCAGACGCCCACGCCGCCAACACCTACCGCCCCATGAAGTTCCGCAACACCTCCATGAGGGTAAGCAAGCTCCATCTACGTTACCTAGCAGCCAGATTCAAATTATCTAAACCAAACAACTTAATTATGAACAAACCCTAGCAGCTGGATCTTGCTATCGATGGAGTAGAGAGTAGATCGTCTATTATTCATCTCTGTCTGATGTGCTAGTGCACTTGCACAGTTGCACACCGTGGTTTTTTTGGGTGGTTGTTTCTGATGATCGATACGTGTTCGTCGGCACGTCAGTATTATCGCATCGGTTTGTGCCTTGCCAATGGACGCAACTCGCTGCTTTTAGTGTGTCTGTTTTAAAGAGGGTGTTCTTTAGGCAATACTTGGCATGGTTGCGCAAGTCAATAGATCCGACAATGATAGCCACGATGCGTACGTGTTGATGACTGGTTCATCTCTGCATATGCGCGCATGCATACCCCCTGAAATTAATCCCTTCTATTTTTGATACTCTTAATTTCTTAATCATATAGTATATGCATCCGTGTGATTGATCGATCGATGTGCGTGGATTTTTGTGCAGCTGGATGACTGGGTGCTGTGCCGGATCTACAAGAAGAGCAGCCACGCGTCGCCGCTGGCCGTGCCGCCGCTCTCCGACCACGAGCAGGACGAGCCGTGCGCCCTGGAGGAGAACGCGCCGCTGTACGCGCCGTCGTCGTCGAGCGCCGCATCCATGATCTTGCAGGGCGCTGCCGCCGGCGCCTTCCCGTCGCTGCACGCCGCCGCCGCCGCTACGCAGAGGACGGCGATGCAGAAGATCCCTTCCATTTCCGACCTGCTCAACGAGTACTCGCTGTCGCAGCTCTTCGACGACGGCGGCGCCGCCGCCGCCGCCCCCCTGCAGGAGATGGCGAGGCAGCCCGACCACCACCACCACCAACAACAACAACACGCCCTCTTTGGCCACCCCGTCATGAACCATTTCATCGCGAACAACAGCATGGTTCAGCTCGCGCACCTGGACCCGTCCTCCTCTGCGGCCGCCTCGACGTCGGCAGGCGCCGTCGTCGAGCCGCCGGCCGTCACCGGGAAGCGCAAGAGATCATCGGACGGAGGCGAGCCGACGATCCAGGCGCTGCCTCCTGCTGCCGCGGCGGCCAAGAAGCCGAACGGTTCATGCGTTGGTGCAACTTTCCAAATAGGCAGCGCCTTGCAGGGATCGTCACTGGGACTGAGCCACCAGATGCTGCTCCACTCTAACATGGGGATGAACTGATAGCTCGTTCTTCGTACATAATACCACAGCCTGATTAAACACTGAACATAATTGCACATGGCGAATTGATGATTTGAACAGTGAGGTCTATTTCGAAAGCAAATAGGTCCAAAACGATAGATTTAAATAGTAAATATATTGGGAAAGAAATTGTACTTAATTTGTACTTGTGTGGACTAGCTAGGTCGTCCGATCATGCATAGCTATATAGTTTGTGGTGTGTATACATTTTTTCTCATGGTACTATACTACTGTGTACTCAAGCTAGCTCAGTACTAAAGATTAATTAAGCTAGATAGGGGTTGATAAGACTTTGAGATAGACCCACTAGAAGTCTGGAACATGAGATCAAGGAGAATGATGTCAAGATCATAAAGCCGGATTTATAGCTCATATTCATGTAAATCAATCAATAAGTGATTCTTTAATGGCAGCCACTCATTTTTTTCAAGTTTGTACTGTTAATTAATGTTAATTTGGTGGGGGTGATCACTAATTAATCACCACAGCTACCACCTGCTCCAAGAATAGAATTACTTCATTCAGAAGAAGGGGAAATACTAACAAACGGTTGGAATAAATTAAAGAAAATGTTTTTCTTTGAGAGATAAAGAAAAGGATATGGAACATGGATATTCAATAATTGGCTAAAGATAGGCAAGTTGTGGATGGTACGTAGTTTTCAGTTCAGGTGGTGGATTAGCCTTTTCCTGCTCAAGCTTTCTTCATATTGGTGAAGAGGCTTTGTCCATGTAGAGAATCTCTTGTCAAGCCAAAGCATCGGAATATCGCCATACACATCAACAAGCCAAAAGAACATCAGTGTCACAGAAGAAACAAAAACCAGTACGTTTTGGCGGCTGCGAGTGAGATTGACACTTTAAATTTCAGTGCAGCTCACCTGGAACCATAGATCATGGTCTACTTTTCTCCATCACAGGTGAAGAAATAATTACATTTATCATAGTGGATTATATTCTACTCCAGAATCAAGACTATACTAATTCTAGCATCGGAAGAGTCAAATCAGCGGAATGGGGCCGTTTATCTTAATTAGCTGGATTGTTGAACTGTGTATTGAAGATGACTAGTATAGTACTATTCGAACTGTTTTGAAAGGAATAATTAACTATTTGCCACTCTTACGAGTGGTTCTAAAGGATTTGTCACGGAACCCAGACACATGAGAACCCATATATTATAGACAGTGAGTGGCAAATTATTAATTGACACATCTTAAAAGTGACAAATAATTAAATATCCCGTTTTGAAATGCAAAGTGACTGTTCTGCAGAAGAATAAATATGACCTTGTAAACTGTACTGCTTGACATAGGCCTGGTTTAGTTCCCAACTTTTTCTTCAAATTTTCAACTTTTCCATCACATCAAAATTTTCCTACACAAAAACTTCCAACTTTTCCACCATATCGTTCCAATTTCAATCAAACTTTTAATTTTAGCGTGAACTAAACACACCCATAGTCGATATATATATAGAGAGAGAAGTAAACAAACAAACAAACAAATATACAGGAGTAATGAAAGTACAAACATCCCCTGCAAGACGCATTTTTTATTGTCTTGCAAAAGATGCAGTCCACAAGTACATAGTTTATTACAAAGCTAATTATTTTGGATATAAAAAATGATGCAAAGTCGTTGCAGACTCATCTCAAAAACAGATTAGAATTTTCGGACCTGATAGAGTGCACAGTGTCGGCCAATGCTGCAAGTGGGGGAGGCTGGCGATAGACACACGGATGGAGATAGCTAGGTTAGGATATGGTGAGGTGAGAATGGTGAGAGCTAGCTAGGTTAATCGAAGGAGTGGGCAGTTCATAGGATCGTGAGTGTTCTAAGGGTTAAAAATATATCGGATTATCTACTAAATAGTCTACTGGATAATCCGATCGAATAGTTTGTATTATTTAAATATTAGCAATGGCAAGCACCTCCGTATCCGCACCCTGTTATCTAGATCCGACTATATCTGTCGGATTTTTAAAAGCCCTATCATATTTTAATATTTTTATTTCGGACAAATATGGAGTGGATATTATCCGATCTATTTTTACTCTACTAAAAAAGTTTATCCAGAAGTAAAATTTTCCATGCTGCACACGCAAGCACGTCTAATTACCTACCAAATCCCTGTCTAGCTTAGTCAAGGCCTAAAATAACCATTTCGTCTCTTGCTTTGTTTCCCATGCAGATGAGCTTTGAAAAAGTAGTAGTAACAATCGTGAAACTACTGGAATCTCTCAATGAAGATAACGGACAAATAACTCGTAGCACAGTATTACAGTTTTCACCGTAGATCCAGAGTATATTCCAAGTCCCATTATCCTTCTAGTTTCCAGTTTTGGCATCTCGATCAATTAGACAAACTTCCACGCATCTCCTAACAAAACAATTAACAAAGCTAATCGTCAATCAGAAATGGGCCACCTGAGAGTTCTCTCTGATCAATTAAATTCTGACAAGCGGAAGTTCAGTGCATTCTCCATCTACTAGGCTATTAAGAATTCGGTATTCCATCCAGGCCGGAGTGCCAATTCGTATATATTTTACAATTGAAGAGCTAACATTGCGGTGATGTTCTACCGGCTACTGGAAACGGTCCAGCACACTGCGATTTGTTTCTGGCACCCAAAAGGCAGGTCAAATTCTTGTAGCTAGGCGAGGAAGCAGAGATCAAAAGGGCCCTACTTTGACACTAGCTAGAAAATTTGATTGCTTTTGAATGAAGCATATTATATGTTATCTTAGAGGGTTAAACTTATCAGCTACATGATTGTTGTCCTGCCTTTCCAATTAGAATGTAGTAATCAAGGTGGAAAGCTTGAGCACGCGTTTATAATCGAACCTGTCCTGCTGCCTCAAGAGTAGCAGTAGTGGGAATGGGAATAATTAATCTTTTTGTGATGGCTGGTTTATGTTTTTTCTAGCAGATCGGATGACATGGTTGATTGGTTGGTGCAAATAAACTACCAGTAGCAAAGAGCATGTGACAGCATTGTTGTAGGAGTATTAGTTTATTAGCATTGGAGATGCATGCGATTTCATATATTTACTGGGAAGAGAGTGACTTGCGTGGATTACACCTCCCGGCTTTTCGAGGTGAGCCAAAAACACCTGGACCTATTATATATGCCGGTACATTATAATGGGATGAAGACGAATGAATGGATTTACATGATTCAGGTTTTTGTTTGTCTATTTTTGCGTGGAAACACCCGTTTTTTGGTGGATTGGTTTATTAGGTACTCCCTCTATTTCAGGTTATAATATGTTTTGACTTTGGTCAAAATCAAACTGCTTTAAGTTTGATCAAGTTTGTAAAAAAAGTAGTAACATTTTCCACCCCCAAGACAAATTTATTATGAAAATATATTCAATTATTGATTTGATGAAACTAATTTAATATTTTAAATATTACTATATTTATCTACAAACTTAGTCAAATTTGAAACAATTTAACTTTTACCAAAGTTAAAACGTTTTATAACCTAAAACGGAAGGAGTAACGTTTTTTTGGAAGTGCGATGATTATGGAAGAGAACCACTTCATTTCGCTTTTACAATAGTAGAGACTAGATATCCTTAAATATACTCCCTCCGTACCTAAATATTTGACACCGTTGACTTTTTTAAATATGTTTGACCGTTTGTCTTACTAAAAACTTTTATGAAATATGTAAAATTATATGTATATATAAAAGTATATTTAACAATGAATCAAATGATAGGAAAAGTATTAATAATTACTTAAATTTTTTTAATAAGACGAACGGTCAAATATGTATAAAAAATCAACGACGACAAATATCTAGGGACGGAGGGAGTATTTTATAGCCTAATTAACGGTCTAAAATTTTGTTTGAATCACATATTAAAATCTTAGTGAGTGGATCTGGGAAGAACTCCTTGCAAAATAGCATAAGCATTTCATCTTTATTGATATCAAAATTAATCTTTCGGTCGGTCTTGTGTGGACTCAATTTCGGCCCACTCTAGTGATTCCAGTCCAATGCGCCGGCAGAACACGACAGAGACCAGCCCATAAGAATGTTCTGAAAGAATAGTTCGATTGGCCCAGTCAAGTCTGGGACATGCGAAATGGTTCTCAGACAGAGAATAAGTCTACTTACCCTTGATCGAATCACGTCCCAAATCTCTTGCCCTTGATCGAATCACGTCCCTCAACCGACATCCCCAATCCAAGCTTCATCAGCAACAAGTGCCTGCATGAATCGCCGGATTACTTCGTCGCGCATCTAGCACACGTGTTTGCTACCATTCACGATTGCTACCCACTCTCGTCGTTCGCACCTATCACCGTAGATTTGGGCTCGCTCGCCACTGTCGTGTTGCTGCTTTTCCCGGTGACGTCGTCAGCGCCGTTGCTGTATATGCGAGGCGAGGCGAGGCGAGCGCGCTCCCCCTCTTCTCTCTACCACACATGCTTCAAGTGGCTAGGAGGGCATTCTCCCTTTTAAGGAGGTCCCCCTCTCCTAGAATAAATAAGGTGATACTAAACTCCACATGCATGCCATCTCATGAGGTGGGCTTTTGTGATTTTCTAAAGAATTAATCTTCGAATGGGCCTTAGCCCATTTATTAATTCCAACAATCCCCCATTAAATCTCAAAATCCCACTGAGATTTGCATTTTCCAATGTACTGTTTATATACTAGTGGTTCGATAGAGACCGATTAAGATTGAACATCCACCTAGAACTTCAAGCTACACTTACTCACAACTTGAACAATGGACTACGCCTTGAATTGCAAGTCTTGTGGAAGCAAGTTTCACTCAGAGTCTTATCTGGTACTAGACTGTTTGTAGACTACCCCTCGGGTGGAGCGTATAAGTCATACTCCTAGGTCTTTAGTAAGCTTCCTAGAAGATTCACCCAAAATCTTCATAGACTGCGACCAACAGTCAAGCTTACAAAGGTGAGTTCTTTCAAGAATGCTCTGCAGGACAGCATCTTCGCTAATTAAAGCCAACAGAACTCATTAAGGCATAGCTAACCTGCCTTGCAGCTCACGAAAGTACATGCATCTTCATTTAGAGAGGGTATAGATTGGTACTCTCCTCTAGTTTACTAATGGTTTGTTTTTCCCAGGTTCTAATTTACGGGATCTCCGATCACATAGACTGGGTTACCACCATAGTATAACTCACATGGGTCTCAAACCCATCTCTTTCGATGCATTATCTATCACATTTCGTGATAGTTCCTTCGTGAAGGGATCTGCCAGGTTTCTAACTGTTTGGATGTAATCCAACGTTATAACTCCGGAGTTTCTTAATTTCCTGACAGACTTCAATCGTCTTTTCACATGTCTAGACGATTTCATATTATCCTTAGAACTATTGACTTTGACAATTACCGTTTGATTGTCACAGTGAATAAGGATAGTCGGCACCGGTTTTTCAATAAT